GACAAAGCCAAAGAGGAAATAAGTGAGCTGAAAGGAAAAGTAGATAGTCTAACTGAGGAAAATTTGGTTCTCAAAACTTCAAACGTTTTAACAAAAAAAGAAAACAAAGAGCTTAAATCAAATTTGTCTATAGTATCTGAGCGAAAAGAACAAGCAGAAACCTTATTAAAAGAACTCAGAGATGCAGAGTCAGCTGTGACATGGGAGTCTATATCTGACAAACGTTTTAAATACCTCACTGGGCTATCAAAACATGAATTCAGAACCTTATTTGACTGTTTTGACCCTTTTCTACACCTGTTATCTTATGAAGGTTGCAAATTTAGTGATAATGATCGCCGAAAACTATCTAAGGAAGATGAATTGTTTTCATGTCTTACAATTTGTAGACATGCACTACACTTGGGYGTAATGGCATGGATTGTCGAAATTTCAGAAAGCACAATGAGCAGGATATTTGAGGCTTGGATGGTCTTTGGTTCTGCTGTGTTCTCCAAGATAGATCTAACCCACCCTAAAGACCTCATAAAGGAAATGATGCCCAAAGCCTATAAGAACCTTGACTACTCTCACATTGTTCTTGTCCTTGATGCTACTGAGTTCAAAACCACTGGTTTTTCAGATCTTGTTATGAATCAGCTTTTCTTCTCAGATTATAAAAACACACACACTGTTAAAGCATTAGCTTGCCTTACACCACATGGAACAGCAGCTAAAGTACCTGACATCTATCCAGGATCAATAACTGATTCTCTACTTACAGAGTCAGTGGGTGCTCTTGAYAATGTGTTATGCCATGATGGTGTTCTTACTGACAAAGGTAAATAGTTTTATCATATAATTATCCAAAAAGATGTTTGTAGGTATCCAAAAATACTTACATTTTGTACAAACAACTCACCACTTTGTATTAGCTCAATTTCCACCCTGTTAGGTCATATCAAAACATTCTCATGCTATAATAGCTGTGGTTTTCAGAGGGGAAAAAATGTGCAGTCATTTTAGTTAACTGCTAGTACTAAACTTTTGATGTGACACATGATTGATTATGACATATAAAGAAATACTTTCAATGATTTAAATTATATGATTTTGTTGCTGGTCTTCAAACTTGATATGATATAATATTTTAATGAAGAAATTGGCACATACAGTACTAGTTAACACACAAACATCATGCAATTCTGAAAACACAACCTATAATTAATTTTCAATAATTAGTAACACCTTTTTGAAAAGTGCAAATTATGCTTTTCAGGGTTTGCCATTTCTGAACAGCTTGCAAGGAAAGGCGGTATTCAGAATAGGCCTCCTATGAAATTTRGSAATCAGTTTACTGCTGGARAATGTGATGCCAATTTCAAGATAGCTTGTCTAAGGATACATGTTGAACGTTGGTAAGTGCTAAGTTATRCAAAAAACTACACAATATTCTTCATTTCTGAGTTTTTTTGTTTGTTTTCACAGGATTGGCTATCTGCGTGATTACTCTATTCTTAATGCTGTGTGGCCAAGCTCAAGAGTGGACCTTCTCAATTGTGTCTGGGTGTTTTTATCCCACATTACCAATTTACTTTATAAAGTTGGCCCTGTAAGTATCTACTGTATTCTAATGTAAGAACATTTGTTGTTATAAATTAATCATTGAAATGCATTGCATTGCAGAAAGAGTGAAAAGACCAACCTGACTGGTGCATACACCTGACAACTGATATAAGTTTACAAAGATACTTTACTTTGATAGTTTTTGAGAAAGCATGCATCTAATGGATGTGGCAACACTAGATACTCTTTACTAGAACCTAGTAAGCTAAGGATGAATAATAGCCAAACCRTATGGTAGAGTTCTCAGATAAATTGACTCTAGATTTTAAATGTTATGCTCAAACATTAAGTGCTGCTTTCACATC